AATATAATGGTCATTATTATCAATGTTTAAAACAGTGTTTGCTGCTTAATTGTATAAATCGTGATACATTTTTCAGGATTCTTCAGTGAATAGAAAGTTCAAAAGAACAGCAGTTATTTGAAATAGAAATCTTTTGTAATATTATAAATGTCACTTTTGATCAATGTAATGCATCCTTGTTGAACAAGAAATATGAAAGGTAGTGTATCACAGATTCCACAAAAACATTAAGCAGCAAAAAATGATTTCAATATTTATAATAATAATAAAAGAATGTTTCTTGAGCACCAAATAAGCATATCAGAATGATTCTGAAGATGGCTGTTGATGATAAAACAACATTGTGATAGCAACTTTTATTCTTCTTGTAAAATCAAAACAAGATTAAACAGATTCAACCATGATTCGTGACAATGATTCACCTGTGAATATAGGTTTAAATGGCGGATGAGTTATAAATGTACACTCTTAAAAATAAAGGTGCTTCACGATGCCATAGAAGAACCTTTTTGTCTAAATGGTTCCATAAAGAACCTTTAACATCTGAAGAACCTTTCTGTTTCACAAAAGGTTCTTTGTGGCGAAATAAGGTTCTTCAGATTACAAAAAGGTAAACACACACACACACACACATATACACTTGTAACGCACATGATATCAGTCACAGCATATAATGACTACTAAAAATTACAAATTATATATAATTTTCTTTCAAATAAAAGGAAAATTGAAAGTGAGTTGAATCCAAGCAGCTCTAAAAGATTTTAGAATAGTTCTGCATCCTGAAGGCGCTCCGCCTGTGTTTGCGGTGTTGCTTTGACCATTTAAACATGCTAATTACACAAACAAAATGTTTAGCGTACTGTCTCTGGAAATATCAACCGTGATTGATCAGCCTTTATTTTTGTATTGTAGACGTTATTACTAGGCGAAGCAAAATTTGCTGAAATATCCACGACCTAGGCTACAGTAAGAGCGCATGGTTTATCTGTCCATCAGATTGAGTTTGTTACTATAACAACAGTAGATCAAACAATCATTGTAAAAAAAAATTACAAAAAATTTGTCGATATAACGAGAAAATTAAGTCGTTATAACGAGAAAACAACTCTCGTTATGTCGATATAACGAGAAAATAAGTCGTTATAACAAGAAAACAACTCTCGTTATGTCGATATAACGAGAAAAATAAGTCGTTATAACGAGAAAACAACTCTCGTTATGTCGAAATAACGAGAAAATAAGTCGTTATAATGAGAAATATGTCGATATAACGAGAAAATGAAGTCGTTATAACGAGAAAACAACTCTCGTTATGTCGATATAACGAGAAAATAAGTCGTTTATAAGAGAAAACAAGAAGGAAAAAATATATAATGCATGGCCGCTTAGAACTTCCGTAGAAAACAGTTTTTGCTGTATAATATATATAAATCCTGATACTTTTTTTCAGGATTCTCTGAAGAACAGAAAGTTCTTAAGAACAGCATTTATTTGAAATAGAAATCTTTTGTAACATTATAAATGTTTTTACTGTCACTTTTGATCATTTAATGTAATGTATCCTTGCTGAATAAAAGTATATGAATGGTAGGGTATCACAGTTTCCACAAAACATTAAGCAGCAAAAACTGTTTTCAACATTTATCATAATAATAATAATAATAATAATAATAATAATAATAATATTTCAGCATATTAGAATGATTTCTGAAGGATCATGTGACACTGAAGACTGGAGTAATGATGCTGAAAATTTTGCACCACAAGAAATACATTTCGCAATATATTCAAATAGAAAACAGTTATTTAAAAGGTTAATAGTATATTACAATGTTACACTGTTTTGATCAAATATGTGCAACTCTGGTAAACATAAGAGACTTCTTTCAAAAACACTACAAACTTGTAATTATTTCGAACTTTTGAACAACATTGAGTTAAAATATGTGCATGCTGGGAACGGCTGGAAAATGTTGTTTAGATGACTGTCATCCAACATTACAGAACACCACAGCAAAAGGAAATGAAAATGAGAAACAGAACAAAAAAAATGCCCAACTCGAGAATCTGAGGAACAAGATTTTCAAACACACAAACAACTGCCTCTTTAGATCATCTTTCAGTGGGAGTCCCTCGTTTAGCTGAATTACACGGAATGGTTTGCCTTAAACGGTGAAATGTTGAACAAAAGGATGCAAAACCCAATACATCTTTAGCAAGACCAAGGCCGATGCATCCTATTCCCATTCCCACAAAATTAAACTGGATAAATCAGGGATGTCCAGCAATGATTCCACTCCATATCTTTGTCACAAAACCTGCTGAGCTGCCTATCTAGACAGCATTTTAAGGCCTCATAGACTCGCAGCT